CTGAGGCTATGTCATGGCTACTGTTAGGAGAATATAAAAGCTATCCTGAGGGCATCATAACAAGCAGCATATCACCACTCTTTGCACCATCAAAACTCCAAAAGTGAAAGACTGAAGAGAGAACTTCAGAGCACCAAGTTTCAAAATGGTGGAGGCTACACCAAGTTCCAGAATGGCAGCAGCATAGAAAATTTGTTCCTCAAAATTTCATTAAGAGTTCCCAGGGACCCAGACACTCGACTCCTACAGCTTAGACAGAGGAAAGCCTGGCTACTGCTCCAGCTAGCAGGGGAACTTGGCATCATCAGCGTGGCACTGGTTTTATGTACATGCAGAGTGCAAGAGCTAGATGGTTAAAAATGCTTCTACCTTGATTTCTGAAGGGTTGGGAGGCTAGGCAGTGTGCCCCTGAGAGGCCAGTGTGTAAAGCTGTATGAACCTGAGGGTGCAGTGGAGGCCCCAGAGGTTTAGAAAATTCAGGAACATGGATAGTCAAAGGGAATCTGCAAGGATGGAGGAAAGCAGGCTTAAAAGAGAAGCAATGGGAGCTGTAACCACCAGAAGAGCTATAGCAGTGGGGTCACTCAAGCTCTTTGGAGCTCACAACTGGTCACTGATTACCTTAGATGCTGCACATGGAAATATAAGACTTAATGTTTGCCCTGCTGGATTGCAGACTCGCTTTGGTCCCATACCTTTGCATTCCTCTGTTTGTCACCTTTGGAATAAACATATTCATCCTCTGCCATTGAATGTTGAAAGTGTTTAACTTTGTTTTTATTTGTACAGAGTCACCCAACAAGGAATTTGCCTTACCTCTCAGAGGAAACATGAGACTTGCACATTCCAACAATGATAAAATTGCTAGGACTTTGGCAACTCTTCAAGATGAACTAAAACGCCTTTTGCATAAAGGAATATGCATGAGTCTTTGGGGGCCATTGGTGAAATATCATGATTTTTATGTAACATAATGGTAATGACTTAATACCGCTTTTTAAGGATTGTCTAACCTGTGTTATAATGTTCAAGTTGTGAAATGATACAAATAGCGACTCTGTGACTAGAAGCCACTTGAAAGAATTATAACTGTTTGGCAAGTTGATTAGAGGTGGATTGTCATGCTCGAAACATTGTGTCAACTTGAGAAGTTGAGAAGTTTAACAAGTGTCTCAGCAGGGGGCCAGGGTCTCACTTTGTAAACATCCTCCTCCTGTGCAAGAGGAGAACATGGAGGTGATGGGAGTGCTACACCTACCCAACAGGTGTAGCCTGCATACAATACAGGGAGAAAATGACATTTATCGACCCGCGCCCCCCTTGTTGCTTTTGTTCTCTTTTGCCTCCTTGATCTATTGCCCCTATGCCATCCCACCCTGCCTTGGACCCAACTGATTCTGCACTGAAAACTCCAGAACCTGGGAGCCAAATAAACCTTTCCTTCCTTAACTTTAGATGTCAACTGTTTTACCTCTGCGAGGAGAGAAATGTAACTAAGACAGAATTTGTTACCAGGGAAATGGGGTCCTTACTGCGACTACATCTGACCATATGCTTCAAGAGCCTTTGGGAATGCCTTCTGGGGAGATGTGGGAAAGGGATGGAGATGTCACTTAAAAGAGTAGCACTGGAATGACTTAGCCTGTTCTCTATAGGAGATTCTGGTCAAAGCTCAGAAGACCAGGAAGCAGATTGAAATCTTCTTGGTAAAACGCTGGGTAGGGAGGCTTCTTCTGGGAAGAAGGACTGCATTAGATGTTGGATTCCAGACCATGTGTGTTATAGCTTGGCAGAAGGACTGTCTGGATTTTGCTAGTGTCCAGAGAGTTTTCCTGAGACATAGATTAAGGGCAGTCGACTAATTAATCTGGCAGAAGAAATTTCAAAGCAGTCAAATGTTGAGGCTGTGGCATGGCTACTGTTGGGTATTTTAGCCAGATGTGTGTTGAGAATCAAAAGAAGAGAGCCCAGCAAAATGATTTAACATGCTGTGAGTTTGACCAGAAAGGATGTCCAGTCCAATAAAGCTGTGGACTACAAAAATAGAGCTGAGGATATCTCAATTCCTGAAAAGGAACAGGGAATATAAAAGGTAACCCGAAGGCATCATACCAGGCAGCTAGTCTCCACTCTTTCCAGCCACAAAACTGCAAATTGAAAGACTTTGCTTTGAGGAGAAAGCTGGGGCACGCCATGTTCCACAATGGTGTTGGCTGCAACAGGTCTCAGAATGGCAACAGCATAGAAAATATGTTCCTCAGAATTGGATTCAGAGTGTCCCAGAGATCCAGGCTTTCAAGCCCTATAGCTAAGACAGACGCAAGCCTGTTTACTGCTCCAGCTAATGGCAGACCCTGACATCATCTACTTGGCTCTGGCTTTAGGTGCATGCAGAATGCAAGAGCTATGGGGTTAAAAAGGCTTCCACCTCGATTTCAGAAGGGCCTGGGAGGCAACGTAGTGTCCACCTAAGAGGGCAGTGTGTAAAACTGTGAGTGTGAAGCCCCAGTTGGAATGGGTACCTCAGAAGTTTAGAAAAGTCATGAATGTGGTTCATCTAAGTAAAGCTGCAAGGAGTGCACAAAACAGGCCTAAGAGAGGAGCTGTAACCACCAGAAGTGTCATAGTAGTGGAGTCTTGCAGGCTCTATAAAGATAACAACTTGTCATAGATTGCCTTAGATGCTGCACAGGAAATACGGGACTTAATATTTTTCTCACTGCATTGTGGACTTGCTTGGGTCCCACTCCTTTGTATTCCCCTTTGTAACTTTTGGAAGGAAAATATTCATCTTCTGCCACTGAATGTTGCAAGTGTTTAACCTTGTATTCATTTTACAGGGCCTTGCAGCGAGGAGTTTGCCTTATATTTTGGAAGACATTTGAGACTTGGAGTATTCAGCAATGATAAAACTCTTAGGACTTTGGCTAAATTTTGTATTAATGTACTTTTGCAAATTTTTGTTTTCCTGATGTATACATTTTTGTGATCTTTCTTTCTCTCTCATATATATATATATATATATATATATATATATTTACTCTCTCTATATATATATATTCACTCCCCTCTCTCTCTCTCTCTCTCTCTCTCTCTCTCTATATATATATACTCTCCCCCCTCTCTCTCTCTCTCTCTCTCTCTCTCTCTCTCTCTATATATATATATATATATATATATATATATATTCACTCCTCCCTTGATAAGTGCTTTTTCCCTGCCATGCCATGAATTATTCCTCCATGATGCCTTGCTTTGGAGTCAGCTGACTGTGAAATGAAATCTCTACAAACTCTGGGGTTTTTTTGTGTGTGTGCTAGGAATCGAACTCAGGACCTTGCACTTTCCAGGCAGGCGCTTGTGCCACTGAGCTATATCCCCAGTCCCTCTCTCTACAAACTCTCAACCAAAATCTATCACCTTTTAACTGTTGAGTATCAGGTATTTTGTCTCAGCACTGAGAAAATATCAAAGACTGCTACCTAAACTTGTGAGCAAGTTCAAGAAAAACATATTGTTTTCTACCCACCTTATTAAAGTGAAAATAATGTAAATATTTTAAAAATTTATTTCGTGGTTAAAATGTCTCTTAGTTCCTCAACCAAATTTATTGACCTTAGGCATGTTACCTCCTTTGACAGTGTTTTGTCTTCTGCAAAATAAGGATAAGAATGCTTTCTGAGGGTGGCTTCTTGTATGGATTAGAGATTAGGAGATAAAACACTTGATATATGTCACTCAAAAAATGCTATTTTTATCCATTTTATCTGGAAATATTGAGGTCTGTAAAGAGGGTAACTATGTCTAATTTTTTACCTCTTTCTTTCAACTCAGGCACACTCAGGGCTAACAGTCTGTTTCAGTACTTTTTTCATCATTTTGCCGAAGATGTTGAGGCTGAATATTGAAGTTTAAAATTTATTTAAAGTCATTGTAGATACTTCATTTTGCAACTATGGGATGTATTTTGCATTTTAAAAAGGCATAAGAGGTAGGATGATAAATACAATTAGGATTGTTTTTTGCAATATTACCTTTTATAGCAAAAATGTTAATTTATTGACTTTATAGTATTTACTCCAATGGATAAGCTAAATTTTCATGCATATCCATTTTCTCTAATATGTATGTATAGTTTTGATCCCCCAAAGACAAATCTCGTTAAAATTTTTAAAAAAATGATGAAAAGCCAAAAAAAAAAAAAAAAAAAACAGTGAAGAAAACCTGAAAGACACATTACAAAAAGTGAATTAAAAATTCAGTATATACATTTTGGGTAGTTAAAAAGCATTCCTTATTTTGACTCATTATACAAGGATTCAATTTTCCCTAATCAAAATGCTAACACAAGGAAGCACAATTTTAGTCATGATATCACGGAATTTTAGTGGGGAAGGCGACCGCAAAATTATTAAATATAACCATCCCATTTTTTGTATGGAAAAATTGAGGCCTATAGAAGTCAAATAACTGGCCCACAATTGAGGCAGAGTCAAAAATTCATGTAAGTATCTGGTTCCCAGTGGGTCAGAAACTCTGCTCTGTTGGTTACATCTGTCTTATAAAATAGAACTGTAGGTCCTTCTAGAACATTTAACATTTTTTTTGGTTTGGTTTTGTTCTTCTTCCAGTACCAAGAATCGAACCCACGACCTCCCGCTTGCCAGGCAGGCGCTGTGCCTCTGAGCTAAAACCCCAGCCCCTAGCACTTATTTTCTAATTAACTGAAAAAACCAAGGGGATGATAGTGGAGATATTTGTAGTGATTGCTGTAGCACCAGTGATTGGGGAGAAAAGAACATTTTAACTGCAATAAGCTTGATAAAAGCATTGCTTCAATTCTTCAATTCTTCAATTCTTCAATTCTTCTTTAAAGCAAGAAAAGCACATGGTTTTCTTTACTAAGTACCTAGAAAATATAGATGGACATACAGGTTATAATAACTACATTTTAACCAATACATAATATTTAATTTCCCCCCACAGAATTTCTCACTCTCTTCTCATTTTAAACATTTTATTAAGGAGCATGAACAATATTCAAAGCTTAGGGATAGTATTTAAGAAGTGGTGTTTCTTCCAATTGCCTGGCAGAATGTTCTCAGTCCTTCTATGTGTCTTGACTATTACATATCTTTAACTTGCTTTTAATCTTCCACTATCCCGGTACAATTTTTCAATGTAAGCTTTAAAACTCCTTGTATTTTTCTTGATAATTTCTTGGTGTTTTATCTGTCATCTTTCTTTGTTCACGCAGCTTATATTTTTCTGCCATGGTTACAAGCTCTTCAGGGATGCTCTGATTTGTTCTCTTCAGAATGTTAATCAATTCACCAGCAATCCTCGAATCATTTCTAGTAATTAGGGTAATCGATATGCCCCTCTTGCCAGCTCTTCCAGTACGCCCTACTCTGTGTACATATTCTTCAATATTTCGTGGGAAGTCATAATTATATACGTGTGTGATGTCATCAACGTTGAGGCCTCTGGATGCTAAATCAGTTGCGATCATTACTTTCACATAGCCAGCTTTAAATTCCTCCAGTGCCTGTTCGCGTTCCTCCTGCTCTCTGGCACCATGCAACAATTGTACAGGTACGCCTTGGATGCCTAAGTCACTTGATATGTCATCAGCAACAAGTTTTCTGCTAACGAACACGATCACTTTGTCTTCAGGTGCCATGTTATGTAAGAATTCTTCAAAATGAGCTCGCTTTTCTTCTTCGGTGGTAACAATTATATTTTGCTTCACTGTATTTACAGCAACTAGATCCAGAGTACCAACATAAACAATCATAGGCTCTTTCAGATATGACTGGGAAAGATGACGGACCGCATCTGGCCAAGTTGCACTTGTCATGACTGTCTGTCTATCTGGACGCACATCAGATAGTATCTTCATTATCTGAGGTTCGAATCCAAGATCCAGCATTTTATCGGCCTCATCTATTACCAAATAGGTTATGCTTCTTAAGTTGACGAAGTTATTCATTTGCAGATCATTTAATCTTCCGGGAGTTGCAATAATGATATCGACACCTTTGGTAACATCTTTTATTTGTTCCTTTCTGTTTCTGCCACCATATATGCAAACACTTTTAAGATTCTTATATGAGTACTTAGAGCACTCAGTTTTCACCTGAAGAGCTAATTCTCTAGTTGGAGTAAGAATTAGCATGCCGGGTCCATTCCTTTCTTCTCTAGTTGTTGGCTGAGAAACGAGATGAATGAACCCAGGCATTAAATACGACAATGTCTTGCCCGTTCCAGTTTGGGCAACCCCTATAAGATCTATTCCTTGTAGAATAATGGGCCATGCCTGTGACTGAATTGGCGTTGGTTTTTCTAAACCTGCATTTGTTAAATTTTCCATCAGTTCAGAATACTGCCCAAAGGCATCTTCAAATTTGCAAGTTGGATTAGGGATTGGACGCTTCTCATCTTTCTTCAGGTCATCACAGATTATGTCAAAATTATCTTTTCTCCATTTGTCTACTTCAGCTGCAGACATTGAGCTGGTAGCTTCAGATTCTAAGTAAAGATTTTTCTTAATAGGTGGCAAATCGGCCCATTTTCTTTGTTTCCACTCTATACTTGCTGCCCGGATCTGATCCCAGTCTATTACTGGCCCAACTCTCTTGACAATGCTACTTGTGCTTAGATTCTTTTCAGCCTGATGCTGAGATGCAGCATTATCACCAGGGTTCTGGGATGTAACACTTTCAACAGAGGATTGGGCTGTGGCATTATCAGCACTAGATTCAGGCATATACTTCTCTTGATTCTTAACAAGAGCATCTATAGCTTCCTTAGCCTTTCTTTTCATGTCATCCGTACCAAAAATTTTTACTTCTGCTTCAGCATCCCCATCTATGATTTGTATCTTAGTGTTTGTGGAAGACTGAAGATGTTTTATCTTTGAACCACCGCGACCAATTACGGCACCAATCATACAGCTCTTCAAGCTAAAGCAGAGTGGCGGCCCACGCGAGTCTGCTGCCCTAGTCCCAACATGATCAGATGAGACACTGCTGCAGCCTCTTACTTGGCCGCGGCCTTGTCCTCGGCCTCGTCCACGGCCTCGTCCACGGCCTGGGCCTTGGCCTTGGCCTCGGCCTCGGCCTCTGCTACCACCATCCCTGTCCTCCAAATTTCCTCGAAAGTCTGTTGAATTAGGCTCTGACCCAGTATTCTCTGGGGTCCCTGACATTGCCCAGCAGTAGCAACGCTGGTCCCGCTCACTTGTCTACATACGGTTACGGAGAGGATTCATCCGTGTCCTCTCTCTCAGCCGGAACTGGACCAACTGAGAGCAGCCAATCTCAGCTGTTACCTAAGTAAACAAAGACATGGGGCGGGGCTTTGATGGCTTGACCAACCAATCAGAGGAGTGAGCCTAGTATGATGTAAGAGGACCCTTGTGACACAACGTTTAAAGAGACATTCACTCTCAGGGACTAACCCTGCCTAAACTTTGACAAACTTGAGAGTGATTATTTAAAAATATTTTTTAAAATTTACATTTAGCTGATACATAAGAATTGTGCATATTTATGGGATACCATGTTTATGTTTTGATACATGCATACATGATATAGTGTTCAAATTTCCTGTAGGTTTTTGAAATATACAGTACATGATCTTCACAGGTAGTTGCTCTAGTGATTACCAGAACACCAGAATTTCTTGTTCCTTTCTTTAAATTAGTACCCTCTGACTGATCGCTGCCCAAGGCTCCCTCCTCACTATTCCTTGCAGCCTCTAGTCATTGGTAATGTACTCTCAACTTGTAGAAGTGAAATCATATAGTATTCATTTTTTCTGTGCCTTATTTCAATTAACACAATGGTCTCCTTTTCTACCTATGCTGTTGCAAATGACAGAATTCCATCCTTTTATGGCTGAAGCATATTCCATCATATATACATACAACCCTCTCTTTATGTATTCATCGGATGGCAGGTGCTTTCTTCCTTAACTTTTGTTTCCTGAATGCTTTGCTTACCTTCCCCCGGGTAGTTCTGGCTCAGCTTGGACAGAACACTGCAGCAGATCTTGAACTTATATGCACTGTCCTTTCTATAATTCAGTTATTTCCATAGAAGAAAAAATAATAGATTTTGAAAAATCACCTTGTGTGAATTTATTTTGGTAAGTTTCTTTTGTAGTAACAACATGGTCTAGATAAATTTATCACTTGCCTGTCCTCTAGTATAACTTCAGTTACACCATGAGCATTTTCTTGGGTGCACACAGGAGTGATATCTTGCCTCTGATTCTTTAGCTAAACTCTGGTACTTGTTCAGGGAGTCTCTAGATATTCACAGGAATGATAGTTAGACGATAGAATGTGGCCTAAGCTACCTTAAAGTTTGTTTGTGATGGATTTCCACTTTTCCCAGTGCCTTTCATCTTTTTTTTCCTTCCCTGTGGTCTCATTGATTCCAAGATCTTACCACTAGGAAGCTATGTAGAAGTCAGTTTTTAGGTGGCATGTAGAAGTCAACCTGACAGAAATCTGTACGGGTGGACATCCAGCTTCTCCTTAAATAGGCCGAGAGGCAGAGAGCTTATTTCATTTCAGGGATGTCCATTCCATTATTCTGTTATGAGGCAGTTAAGTGGTTTACAAAGGTGGTTCCCTTTTGTTTCCTTAGGTACTTATTTTGACTTCTGAAGGTATAAAAACTAGATTCCATTCTCTTATATCTGTGTATATTTAAGGACCACTGCCAAATTAAAGGTTTCTGTTAATCAGGTAAATGTCTCAGTTTTTCAACATTTCTTTCTATGACCTATTTTCTAAGATGCACATCATCTCCTTCTTCTTTGGAAATGGCCCTTGTTACTACCATTAAGGCCTCTTCCCTGAGCATGACAGTTGTGGTAATTTAATTAAAGAATTCCTAACACACAAAACTACTCACAGCAATGTGGTAGACATTTAAATTCAATCTTCTCCACCCTACACTTATTTGATTGATTTTGCTTTCTTTATTTAACTAAAAGTAGACTATATTTTTATTTACATGGATCCCATTAAGTTTGGTCAACTGAGGTAGCCTATTAAGTATAATCTAATGGTTATTCTCTCAGGCCTCATATTATTTGCTAGTTTCCAATCTTCTGATAATTTAATATTCATGGCATTTTCTCTCTTCAGCCAAAGTTGATTAAAAATTGAACATGCTTCATTGTAGATGTCTGTGACATATTGGGAGAAATCCTCTCTATGTCAGCACTTTTATTGAACGATATATTTTTAAGAATAAAATAAGTTGCTGGTCAAATATGTTTGGGAAATATATTACCTATATCCTCTGTGTTAAAGTTACAAAACTCATTAGACATCCCAAAAACTCAGATAATTAAACGCACTGACAAAATCTTGTGTTTAATCTAAAGTTTCTAAAGGAATTTTCCAATGGATCTTTTCATAAATATTTTAGGTAAACCTTTTATTTAGAATAACTTCAGATTTAAAATAAGTTACACAGATAGTGCAGGAGGCTTCCTATATACCCCTCAACCAGTCTCAGTATCCTTTTATCTTATCATTTCGCATTACCATGATAGATTTCTCAAATATAGGAAATCAGAATCAGTGTGTTGCTGTTAAACAAGTTCGAGCCTTTTATGATCTGTTTTCCATTAATTCTGTTTCAGAATGTAGTCAAGAACCCATACTGCATTTAGTTGTTAGGTGTGGTTTGTAACAATTTCTCAGTCTTTCTTAGTTTTTATTACTTTGCCAATTTTGAGGAATAATGATCCGGCATTTTGTAGAATTTCCTTCAAATTGAGTATACCTGATTTTATTTCTGATGATGAGACTAGCATTATAGAATTTTTGGAAAAATATCACAGGGGTGATGTACACTTCTCATCATATCTTATTAGGGAGATGGTTACCTAATATCAATATGACTCATCATTATTAACTTCAATCATTTGGTTAAATGGTGATATCCAAATTTTCTCCACTATAAAATTATAATTTCTTCCATTCTATGTTTTCACTTTTTGTAAGTGAATTACTAAGTCCAGGAAACTTTTAAAGGAACCAGTACCTACTTATATGCAAATATTAACATTTTCTACAACTAAGGATAATATGCTTTGTAATACAGTTTTGGAAGTCCTTCTCTGGATAAGCGTAGATTATTAAATGAATCTTTTTCATTTGATTGTTCAATCAGATGTTTCCTGAACAAATCACCTTGCAATTCATCCACAATTTTTGATGAATGATACTAGGAGTTTTGATGCATTCTCACTATCTTCTAGTTCGTTAGATCTTTTAAAAAGGAAATTTATTTAATCAAGTGTGGCTTTTGTTTAGTGAAGGATTTATTATGTTTCTCTATCTTTATGCCTTCATCTTTACTTTGAATAATGCATAATATTACAGAATTCTGGAGGTGATGTATAACTCAGAGGTCATCTTGTTCTTCTTCATTGTTGAAACGATGAAATTGGTTTCTAAATTTTTTTCTGGAATTGAACAAGGGTTCAGTAAATCCCTGAGAGTATAAATACAAAACTATTTCTTGAATAAGGGCTCTTACTCTTCTACTATGAAGTGATCTGCCTTTCCTCATGTTCTTTTATGTGGGTAATATGGAAGAATAGAAGAAGACGTAAAAGTGACATGAATGAAGGTCATATTTTGGAGAGGAGGATAGTTGTAAAATTTGAGTGCAGAACAGAACATTTTAAGATGGAACTCATTGTGGTGAATTACTGAGATCGCCCAGAACTAATGGAAGCTTTTTCTGAGTATTGCCAGGTACTCAGAGGGACTGTCCTTTCAAGGTCATTTGTTACCCTCTGTAACTAGCCTTATAATTCAAGAAAGTGGTTGTCATCTAAATTAAGGGCCATCAGTGTGATACTCTTTGCTCCAAACATCGCTACATACTTTGTGTCTGATATATTGCCACTAGATATACACCTCTGGTTTATGGCTTGGTACCTTACTGACATACTCCTAAAGAAACAAGACACAAAAGTGTTAAAATGAAACAGCTGGCTAAGAAGTTCTTATAAGGCACAGGAAAGCAAAAAAAAGGAGGGATTGAACTTCTTGCAAAGTACGTAAAGGTTCTTCCAAGTTAAGAAGAAAGGAATGAAAATAAAGACAAAAGCATAATTAAAATAATCTTCACTATTTTGCTTAGAGTGGTGCCTATGACTTTACAGACAAGAGTGAGAGACTCAAATTTTTTGTCACTTAAATTTATTGGTACAATTTAGTTATACAGACTGATCATATTCATTATAGGGAATTTATACCTATCCATGATGTACCTTCTTTCCTCTTTTATTTTTCCTATTCCCATCTACTCTTTTGAAACTCCCTTTCCCTCCCCATTCACAAAGCTAGGTTTTCATTTTATCCTTTTCTCATTTCTTCCTTCCCTTCCTTACAGGTAGTGAATTGCATTAATTTTTTATTTTTTTTTTTTATTTTTTTTTTTTATTTTAAGGATAAAAGGAGGGAAACATTAGAATTGCATTAATTTTAAATTCTCTATTTTACAAGAAACTCTTCTGTAATTAACTAGTACTACTAGACTAAAATATTCTCAGAGATGGGACTTTCCTTAGAAACCATATTGCTAGGATTGACAACTTAAGGCAAACTTTAATTGTGAAATTCCAACTAGTATTATTATAATAATTATAGTTAATTTTACAAATACACAGCACTTTACAACTTGTAAAAACCCTCCATAGAAATAATCTCCTTGGGCTAATATTAGTCATTAGTCATTACTCTTTCAAGAAATACTAGGTTTGTGGCAAAGTTGCCTTCAATTGGCACATATTGCTTTCATTATTCTGTGTACAGGACCTTAATACAGATATCTGTAGAGTCCAAAGTGTGGAGTAGTGTAAAGTACATTGGAGCCAAAATAACCAAGTTCAAACCTTACTTCCAGCACTTGTTCACTATGAATCCTGGAGTAATTTGTGACTTTCTAATGCTGAGGTTTTTCTACCTATAGAATGACATGTTAATACCTATTTTATGCATGCACACATGGAACCCCACAAAAATTTACACTACTTACGTCATGGTATGAATAGTCTAAGGATCAAACAATCATGTTATAGAAACAGTAGTTGTAGAGAGAAACAATTGTGGAGGTTTCTAAATGCCTTTCTAAGAATTTCTGTGAATCTTTTCTCTGGTCCACATCAAAATGAAAAGAAAAAAAAAAAAACCCAGAATAATGAAATAAACTATTTGAAGCTGGTTGTGGTGGCACACTCCTGTAGTCTCAGCCCTTGAGAGGCTAAAGCAA